GTTTCATGGCCCCATAGGGAGCTCCACCGGAGGCCCAGTGGAAGCGCCCCCATAGCAACACCGTGTTCGTTCCGGCACATGTCGCACACGTTTCGCGGCCCCATAGGGAACTCCATCGAAAGCGGTCGGTACCCAGAAAGCGGCACTCACAATGACATGTGGTTTGGTCCTTGGCCAGGATAATCTATGTATATATATATATATATGTATATCTATGTGTATATATATATGTATATATACATTCCACTTGTATGCATGATCATGTTCACGTTTCTATTGTTCTGGCTCTTCCAAGCTCTAGGACGGCCCAAGAGGCCCCAAAATCGCCCCAGGATCGCCCCAGACGCCCCTCTGAAGGTACCAATGCAGCACCTGCGCCTCAAGACAGCCCCCGAGACACCCCCTGAGGCGTACTAGACGGCCCCCGGACGGCCCAGGAGAGCTCCCGGAGCCCCCCGACGCGCTCCAAGAACGCTTGTCAATCGCTAAGGGAGGCGCTCCACACGCCCCGAAAGTGTCACCACGGCCCAATACAATGGCCCAGTGACACGGTTGGGGGGAACAATTAGTGGACGCTCCCCCGCGCCCCCAAGTTCCAAGTTGGCACGCGCGGGGGAGATTGCGGTCGAGGCGCAACTCATCATACCCACCGCCAGCTTTGAACATTGGGGGGAGGGGGAGGCGTTGACCGATGAATGTGGCATGCGCGTTCGCTATTTTTTTGTTTCTCCGAGGCCTGCCTCTCGCTGCATTTTGTGATGAAGCTCGCCACGCGGAGTCCCGCAGGAAAGAGCGCGAGGGCGGCGGAAGCCGCCGGCAGGAACCGCGCGCCTTCCGAGCCGCGTGCCCCCGCAGAAGCCCCGCAAGGTGGCCTGCCCTCCTGGGTCGGGCGGGAGCCCGCCGAGCTCAGTCCCCCATTGGCATCAGAAGTGTGGTTCGGCCAGGTCAGAGTCCCACCGCTGGAAAGTAGGGTCAACCCAGATCCTGGGCCCTGGAGGGCTCCCGCCGTGTTCGGATCGGCTGGGCGCAAGTTGGGGCTCATAAGTTCAAAGACTCCTGCTGTGGCGGGGCCGTCTCGATGCCATCTTCAGGCGATGCGCGCGCCGTCCTGTCGCCGCGGACCCCTCGTCAGGGCCTCTTGAAGACATGTTGGGTCATCTCGGAGATCAGAAAGAGCGCGTTCTGTGGTCGCTTGGAGGGGGGGGGGGTGAAACTGGACCCCCCTCCCCTTTCCTCCCCTGCTTCCCCTCTCCTTGGGCCAGCGCTTGCGTCGGCGGCGGCTGGCGGTGGCGGCGGGGACGACGATTTCTTTTTGTGGGCCGGCGCCGGCGCCTGCGGCGGCGGGCGGCGGCGGCGAGAGCGTCGACGAGGACGACGGTGGTGGTGGTGGTGGTGGTGGTGGTGGTGGTGGTGGTGGTGGGTTGTGGTGGTGGTGGTGGGTTGTGGTGGTGGTGTGGTGTGGTGGTGGTTTGTGGTGGTTTGGCGGTGGTGGTGGTGGTGGGTTGTGGTGGTGGCAGTGGTTTGTGGAGATGGTGCTGGTTGGTGGTGATGGCGGTGGTGGTGGTGGTGGTGTGCTGGTTTGTGGTGGTGGAAGGTTGGTTGTCCTGCTACTAGTGGTGGTGGACGTGGTTGTGGTGGTGGCGTGGTAGATTGTGGTGGTGGTGGTAGTGGTTGTGGGTTTTTGTGGTGGTGGTGGTGGTGATGGTGAGTTGTGGTAGTAGTGGTGATGGTGGTGGCGGTGATGGTGGTGGCGGTGATGGTGGTGGGTTGTGGTGGTGGCACTGGTTTGTGGACGTGGTGGTGGTGGTGGTGGCGGCGGTGGTGGTGGTGGTGTGGTGGTTTGTGGTGGTGGCGGCAGGTTGTGCTGCTAGTAGTGGTGGTGGTTGTGGCGGTGGTGGTGGTGGTGGTGGTGTGGTAGATTGCGGTGGTGGTGGTGGTAGTGGTGGTGGGTTTTTGTGGTGGTGGTGTTGGTGGTGATGGTGAATTGTGGTGGTGGTTGTGGTGGTGGTGGTGGCTGTGGTGGTGGTGGTGGTTGTGTGGGTGGTTGGTGGTGGTGGTGGTGGGCTGAGGCGGTGTTGGTGGTGGCAGTGGTGGCGGTGGTGGTAGTGGTGGTAATCGTCGCTGCGTCCCCGCCGTCGCCGGCGCCAGCGCCGGCGCTGCTGGCCGCGCCGCCGCCAGCGCTGGCGCCGGCACCACGGGGGGTGGGTGGGTTTGAACCCTCCCCGCCGGGGGGGGGGGGGGTTGAACCCCCCCCCGTGGGCTGCCTCTGGTCATCGTTGCTGCGTCCCCGCCGTCGGCGCTGCTGGGGGCCGCCAGCGCCGGCGCCGGGGGGGGGGTTCGGGAGGGGGGGGCTTGGGGGGTAGGAGAGTCCCCCTGGTTTTGATCGAAGGCGCCGAGTGTTGGGGGCCATCCCCCGGTCGGAACGGGCCGCCGAATGTTCCTGAGGCAAGCGCCCGTAAAAGACGTTCTCTGGGAGATCAGCTTCACATGATATGCAGCTCGCGGGACCGCCCACTGCGTCGACTTGCGAACGATAGTGGGTGCATCTTGGAGTTGTCGTCGGGCCGTTTGCAGATCGCACCCGCGTCATGTTTGGACTGTGCGGGCGGCGCTCGGTCAGTTTGGAGTCGCCCTTGATGCGCCTGGGTCCACCTTCTGGCATTGGGGCCGTCTCGGTATCGCCCGCTGCTCATCAGACAGGTCATCGCTTAGGCAGCCTGGGGCTCTCAAGATGCCTTGTCGGCATCATGTTGGGCCGCGGGGTCATTTCAGTACGTTGGGAGGTCATCATCGGTGGCTTGGGGCCCGAGTGATACCACCTTGGGGCTCTGAGGTCACGAGGTCATTGCATGCACTTATGCATACTTCCCCGTGAGACTTTCCAAGGAAACTCTTGTCGGAGCCAAGTCGGCCTCGAAGACGACCCAAGATGCCTTCAGAAGCACTCCCTCGACGGCTCCAAGAACCGAGATCAGTTGAGTTGTTCCGACATTTTTGTACCATTCTCACCACTATGCCTGTCCAGCTCCCCCACGCTCACAGCCCAAGAGGCCACAGGATCGCCACAAGACCGCCTCAGGCGCCCCCGCGAAGGTGCCTTAACAGCCCCTGGGGGCCCCAAGTCGGCCCACGAGGCTTCTTGGGTTTCTCCGGGGGGCAAGAATCCTCGGCCCCGAGCCTTTCAGGGTGGGGGGATGGGACACTTTTTTATGGAGAGCGGGGCAGGCGGCTTACAAATGGAGGCAGGCGTACAACTACGCTTGCCCCCGCCAACACACATCACACGGACGATGAGGCCAATGCAACACGCCTGGCACGTCCCGGGGGGGCGGCTGCCCCGTGAGCAGCACATCGGACGATGACCGTCGCCTTCCTCCTCCTCCTCCTCCTCCTCCTCCTCCTCCTCCTCCTCCTCCGCCTCCTCCTCCTCCTCCTCCTTCTCCTCCTCCTCTTCGTCCTCCCCCCTCCTCCTCCTCTCTCTCCCCCTCCTCCTCCTTCTCTCCTCCCCGCATCCTCTCTCCTCCTCTTCCTCCTCTCCTCCTCCTCCTCCCTTACCCCCTCCTCCTCCCTTCTCCATCCTCCTCCCTCCTCCTCCTCCTCCTCCTCCTCCTCCTCCTCCTCCTCCTCGTCCAACTCCTTCTCTTCGTCCCCCTCCTTCTCCTGATTGCAGTTGTTCGGTGGCCCGAATGCACCAATGGGTTGCTGGGCCCGCCCCCCGATCTCTGCAGGAGGAGATGTCTACATGCTTCGACGGTGAGCGCAACGTAGGTAGGACCGCAACAAGTTCACACAGTCAGGCAGCCATGACTGGCCACGGCTCGATGCAAAATCTCGCCACTCGTTGGGCGATCTGGTGCCCTCGCGGGGCCGAGTTTACGCTCCACGCCGCGCGCGTGGCGCGCGTATGCCAGATCAGGTCCGTGCCTGTAGAAGCCTGCGTCCAGATCGAAGTAGCCAGGAAGTCGTCCACACGGCGCCCATGAGCGCGTCAACTAGCGCCGATTAGCATGCAGAGCGGACGCAACGCATCCCCCTCGCCTGGTGCTATCGGCCGCGACGCGGCGCGCGTGCTCGTGGGCGCCGCTTGTGCAATGCAAGAGGAGCGGTGTCCTAAGTATCGCGAAGTCGGGGTGCCCCCCAGGGCCTCGCAGAAGCAGCGCGAGCAGCTGAAGAGCGAGTTCCAGTGCCTGGTGAGGCTCGACCACCCGAGCATCGTCCGCTTCTACGAGTGCTTCCAGGAGCCCCAGCCCCGAGCTCAGGCAAGAGGAGGAGGAGGAGGAGGAGGAGGAGGAGGAGGAGGAGGAGGAGGAGGAGGAGGAGGGAGGAGGAGGGGTTCACTGCCCATCGAGGGGGAGAGTCAGAAAGAGAGAGAGAGAGAGAGAGAGAAATGGAACATGGGAGGAGGAGGAGGAGGAGGAGGAGGTGGAGGAGGAATAGGGGGAGCAGGGAGGCGCCAATAGGAGGAGGAGGAGGAGGAGGAGGAGGAGGAGGAGGAGGAGGAGGAGGAGGAGGAGGAGGAGGAGGAGGGAGGAGCAGGGGAGGGAGCTGCGGAGGCGCGGAGGCGCGGAGGCGCGAGGCGCGGAGCGGGCGCAGGCGACGGCGCCCGAGAGGGCGCCGCGGGCGAGGGGGAGCCGGACCGGCAGCCGCGGCCGAGCGGCCCCGCCGCGGCCTCGGCGGGGGAGAGCCTCTCTCAGAGCGTCAATTACCTGCCCCGCTTTCGCTTCCAGGCAAAACCAAGGCATACCACGCGCCTCCTCGTCAAGCGGCCTGACCAGTACAGGGCGCAGTTTGGCATCGCTTGGTATCTCTTGGAAGCGAGGGTGGTCAAAAGCGAGGTAGGTTTGTTTGCCCCCTACTCTCCCCGCTCCTGGCCGCGACGATCGGGCACCGCGACCCGGCCCCACGAGCGACGCGTGTACGGAAGGGATCCCTGACTCCAGATCCGCCCTACTGTGGCTTTTTTTGCAACTTAAAATTGCGTCGGAAATCCACCTAGAAGAGGCCGAAGAAGTAGGGCGGAAATTGCTGCACCCAACATAAAGTAGGGCGGAAATCCACAGAAACAGCAGCAGAAAAGTAGGGCGGAAATTGGCATCAGCGGGGCTTGAAAAGTAAGGCGGAAATTCCAAGTTCCACTTACGAATTTCCCCAAAGTAGTGCGGATCCGGAGTCAGGGCGATCGGGCAACGCGACCCGGCCCCACGAGCGACGCGTGTACGGAAGGGATGGGTACCATCGGGGTGGGGTGCAAGGTCGAGGTCGGTTCGGGGAGGGTGCTCTCGTGTTCTCTGTGTGTTGTGGAACGCTGCTTGTGCAACCTGGGGAGGGCACCCTTGGATGGTCTGTGAGTGTGTGTGTGTGTGTGTTTTGGCCGGCGGAGGCTTTGTGATGGTCTTGGGGGATGGTTCTTCTGGCCTAGGTCCGACGGTGCGATGCCCAACAGAAGTTCTTGTGCCTTGTTTCCCCCCGCACCTGCCGCATGTCATGTTACGCTGTGTGGTGCTACGCGATGTTATCCATGATCCATTCGATCATCGGTTATGGTCTTATGCTCTATGTTGCTTTGCCCCACTTTAACATAGTATGTCGCGCTATGATGTGTCGTCTGTGCTACGATGCTAGATCATATTATTGAATCGCTTCGCTCATTCCGCCGGCCCATATTTCGCGCCGTTGTCGGCTGACCGAGTGGTCTTTAGCGGTGCGGAGCTGCAGGGGCGGCGGCTTTTTTTCATCAGGCTTTGCGTTCGGCATGTGAGGCTTCTCGGTGGCCGCTGGGGGAGTCTTGAACGCTTCGCGGGCCGTCTGGAAGCGTTTTGCCTATGGGGACCCTTTCGGGAGGCCTCTTGGTGGCCTCGTGTGGACTCTTAAACGCGTCGGGTCGTTGGCACTTGCTTGCGTGCTCGGGGGGGCATTTGGGGGGCCTCCTGGGGCCGCTTGGGGGCCTCCTGAGGGCCTGTTGGAGGCCTCTTGGGGCCTCTTAGAGGCCTCTTGGGGGCTCCTGATGGCTTCTTAGGGCCGAGGGCTCGAAATGTTGTTTCGTGTTCCCCCCCTGGGATCTCTCTTGGGGCGTTCTTGGGACCTTCTTGGGCCGTCTTGGAGGCCTCTTCTTGGGCCTTCTTGGAGTCCTCTTGGGGCCCTCTAGGGGGCCTCTTGGGCCCTCTTGGGGCGGTCTTGGGGGCCTCTTGGGCCGTCTTGGGGTGTCGGGAAGCCGAAAAGGTGGAACGCCAAAATCTTTCCGAAACCTAAGGGAAAGCAATGATGTTTGCCTCTTGGGACCCTCTTGAGAGTGCTCTTGGAGGCCTCTTGGGCCGTCTGGGGGCCATTTTGGGTGTCTTGCAGCGATCTTGTGGCATCTCGGAGCTCTCTTGTATCATCTTGAAGGGCTCTTGGCGGCCTCTTGGCCTTTCTTGGGGCTCTCTGGACGGCCTCAAAGGCGGCGCCCAGGAGTAAAACCATCTCTTACCCGAGTCGCCCAGGACCTGCCTGGGGTACTTTTCGTCCGGGGACCCCCAGGGACCGCCCCGCGCGCGCGAAGCAGAATTATTGTAAAGCAGTTACCGGAGATCTTATCACGCCTCTGGCCCGTTGGGCCGGCGAATATGTGCTGTGATGCGTTGCGTCATGGTGTGTTCTGTCATGGTGTGCTATGTTATGATGTACAATGACATAGTATGCTATGATCTGGGTTGTTATGTGGTGTGTGTTCCGCTCTGTCATATCATGCGTTGTGTTGCTGAGTTGCGCATTGCTATGCTACGTCCTTTTACGCGAGGCTGTGACATGTTCTGTTTTGGCATGTTCAGCTGTGTGATGGTTTCTTATGGGATGCTTGTTTGGTGGGGCTACGGTGGTGTGTTATACTGCGGTATGTTATGCCATGATGTTGTATAGTATATTCGACATTGCGATGTTGTTAGGTGGTGTGGTGTTATGCTAGTCTCTGATGTATATATACATAGATATATATATATATATATATCATAATGTTGTACTGTGCTCTGTTCTGATACCACATGATACCGCTCAGTCATGTTATGATTTGTCGGCGCGAGGTGGGACACTCGGAGACACTCGGGGGACCTCGGGATCCGGCGTCCGCGGTATGCAGAGTGGCGCGAGGCGGGACTCTCGGGGACAATCGGGGGATCTGTGGATCTGGCGGCCGCGATATGCAGAGTGGCGCGAGGCGGGACTCTCGAGGATACTCGGGGGACCTGGGGATCTGGTGGCCGTGGTATACGAGTGGCGCGAGGCGGGACTCTCGGGGACACTCGGGGGACCTGGGGATCTGGCGGCCGTATGCAGAGTGGCGCGAGGCGGGACTCTCGGGGACACTCGGGGGACCTGGGGATCTGGCGGCCGCAATGTGCAGGGTGGACGGGACGGGTCCGGAGGTATGCTTTTCAAATCTGACGACCCCTACCTGTCGGGCTGGGAGATGTGGACCCCGTACCCCCGCCCCCTCAGCCCGACATTTGGGTCTGCGGGTTGGGCTGGGGTGGTCTGGTAGGAAGCCAGCAGGAGCTCCGGCTCCGGGGAGCGAGGCCCAGATCCCCCCTCGAGGCGTGGGAAAGACACGACCGGGAGTCTTTCTGGTGCTTTCGGCCTCTCGGAGCCCTCACTCGGCCTCGAGGCTGTCCACAAACGACTCGGGATGAGAAGCCGGTCCTGGGGAAGGGGTCGAGAAATGGGCCGATGTTCCACCGCCGCTACCATAGATAGGAGGGGGAGGGGGAGGGGGAGGAGGAGGAGGAGGAGGAGGAGGAGGAGGAGGAGGAGGAGGAGGAGGAGGAGGAGGAGGAGGAGGAGGAGGAGAGCGAGAAGAGCGAGGAGGAGGAGGAGGAGGAGGAGGAGGAGGAGGAGGAGGACGGCCTACCCATCCTCTCATCTCCCCCGTCCACCCTATGGTAGTGGTGGTGGACGATCGGCCCATCGTCGAGGCACCTGGGGGGTTCGACGCTGGGACCGAGTCGTGACGTCGGGGGTCCGGGGAAGCTGGTGCCTCGCCTGCCGCGCGGGCCGGCGAGGGCAGCATCCGTCGAGGGACAGCACGCGCATCGAGGTGCCGCCGGGGACTCTCTCTCGGGCAGCGCATCGCTCTGCCGGTTCCGGCCCGCCCTGCCCTGGCGCGACGCGCGGTCCACCGCCCGGTGCCCGAGGCTTCCACGTCCGAGCCTCGGCCCGGGCGGCCCGCCCCACGGAGCGGAGCGGCGCGCGGTCCGCCCGCAGGGCACAGCGTGTCTCCGGGGCCGCCGCCGCGACACGCTGGTCAAAGGCTCCTGTCCATACAGTGCCGTTTCGAATACATGCTCCGCGTGCGGACCATGTATGTAAAAAAGGGTTGATTAATAAATGCAAGGATGAGTTCATGCATTCATTTATTCATAACTTAATCGTGTACTAAGAAGCCTATATTTTAAAACAATCCTATGTATTAAAAACTGCCCTGTAGCCTGTCGGAGGCCCCCGCGGACTCCTTGGGTCGGCGCTGGCCCAAGAAGTCAACGCGCACCTCCGACAGTGTATGCTTGTGCTGTTCATCTAGCCCGGAAGCTGGTGGCACGTGGGCGGAAGCCAGCGGAAGAAAATATTGACTCCCCAGGAGAGGACGACGCCATCGCTCCCAGCTGGGCGTTGCGTGATGGGGGGCGGCGATCTAGGGGGAGGTGAAGACAGGTGCACCTCTTGTGCCCTAAAGGGGCCCTAAAAGGGCCCCCGTGGGCCCAAAAGAGGCACGAAATATGCACGTATAACCACACCCATGTATCGCCCCCCAGTATGCAACGCCCTAGCCAGCAGGCCCCAATCGTGCCTCAAGATGCCCCCTTGCGGAGTTTCGAAACGCACTGTGCAGCGTCCTGTTGGGTCGTGCCAGGTGGTATGAGTTTGACCATCGGAGAGCACGCGCCTGCATCTGAGCGGTCGGCGGTTCTCGACTGAGACAAGGGCACGCGATACAGAAGGCCCACCACGCAGACGCACCTGCGACCGATTTTTTCTGACGCATGCGCCAGGAGTCCCCACGGGACCCATACCCCCGACGTCATGATTTGTTCATGACTTTCACCCACGGAGGTTTCGACCTATGCCCCGGGACAGGTTTTTCATCCTGCGTTGTTTTTTGACGGTCCCGAGGCCCAGCAAGGGTCCCCAGAGCCCAGAGGCCGAAAATGGCGACGGTCCTCTCGCCATGATTTTTTTCGTGACTCGAGGGAGTCTGGGAATAAACCCACGC